ACACTGGGGAAGACAGGGACAGGAAGGTGACTGACCTTCTTGCAGACAAGCCTCGGGGTGGCATCTGGCTGCCCAAGTAATTATAGTATTTGTCCTTCAAGAAACAATAACAGCTACTACTTAGAGCACTTACTCGCAGCCAAATGCTATTCTACACCTTTACCCATATCAACTCATTTGAACTTTTACAATAACCCACTGAAGTAAATACCGTACACCAATTTCATTAGTGAGGAAGCTGAGGCAAAGAAAAGCCAAGCAAAGTGCCAAGATCACAGACCAAGTAAGCAGCAAACGTGAATCTGAGCCCAGGGTCGGCCCCTGACCGCTGTGCTCCACTCGCTGGCAGCAGCAGTGAAGGAGTGGCAGCTTTTCTCAGGGAGAGGAACCAGCGTCCTGCGTCAGCATCCAGGGATTTCTTTGACTTTCTTCAGTTCTGAGCAGCTCAAATTGCAATTTTTTCCTTTTTTTCTTTAATTGTAGTAAAATGCACAGGAAATGTATCATTTGAACTACTTTTAGGCGTACAAATTAGTGGTGCTAAGTACGTTCACACTATTATGCCATTGCTGCCACCACCTACCTCCAGAGCTTTCTGTATCTTCCCTAACTAAACTCTATGCCATGAAAAATTAAGTCACTATGGGCCCTATCCTCAGCCTAAGGATGTCCACTCTACTCTCTCTATGATTATAATGACCCTAGGCACCTCATATAAATGGGAACCTCATATGAATGGAATTATTCAGTGTTTGTCCTTGTTGATGGTTCTTTCACTTAGCACATCTTCAGGGTTCATCCGTGTTGTAGAAGGTGCCAGAATTTCTTTATTAAGGCTGACTATAATTTCTTTGTATGTGGATACACCAGATTCATTTCTGTTTCTATTCATCCATCGCTGGACACTTGGTTTGCTTCTGTATTTTAGCTATTGTGAATAATGCTACTATGAATACTACTGAATAAAAATGAGTCTCTGCTTTTAATTGTTTTTTGGTATATATCTAGAAATGGAGTTGTTTGGTTATATAGCAATTCAATTTCTAATTTTTTGAAGAATTGCCATTGAGTTGCCTGCCCTTCTTCCCTTCCTCCTCCATCCTTCCCTTCCTTCCTGCCTCCCTCCTTCCCTCATTCCTTCCCTCCATCCCTCCTTCCTTTCCTTTTTTTTTTTCACTTCAAATAATAGCCAAGTATCTCAGTGGCCAACCCCACTTCACTTTCAGTACACCTTTCTGAATTTCCCAGAAGACCTCTGGACTGCATGCGGCTCTCTCAGGAACTGAAAAGCAATTTTCCTGTCTTTTCTTTTTTAGACTTTAGCTATAGAAGTCACCTGATTGGAAACTGCAGAAGAGTCCTCCTCCTACACAGAAAGAGAACTGTTCAGAAAGCCTGGCCCAGCAGCTAATTACAGGCTTTTCCCAGGGATTCTTGTAAATGCTTAAACCGCAGATCAACCTGATTTTTGTTAGGCAGTGTTTGGAAACACAAGAATGGGCTAGGTTTCAGATCCTCCTTGGAGGTGACAGCTCTTCCCTCTGCAGACAAGGAAAGCAAGTAGAACCTTGTGGAACCGCATTCAGGAGAATCGCAGCTTTGCCTAGATTACACCAGCTCAGCCCCATTTCTTTTATTATTCCAGCCAGCAGCCTTTAAGTGAAATGCCAGTCAGCCGGGATTCCCACAAAAGCTGTGGTTCTGAACCCCAGCTGAGCATTAGGAATCTCTGGGGCATTGTAAAAGTGAGTTTAAAGGTACATATACAGTTGTCTCTCCCCCTTATCTGCAGGGATCCATCCAAAGCCCCCAGTGGATGTTTGAGACTGGGAATAATACAACCCTATGTATATTTCTTCCTATGTACATATATGACAAGGTTTAATTTATAAATTAGGCATAGTAAGAGGTTAACAACAATAACCAGTAATAAAATAGAACAGCTATAACAATGTATTAGTGAAAGTTACATGAATGTGCTCTGTTTATTTCTGGAATTTTTCATTTAATATTTTAATATGTCTATGTTGTATCTTTTATTAAATTATGTATTACAAACACTTTTCTCCATTTAATCACCTACCAATGATTAATATACTGAACAGATGTACGGATTTCACTCAACCAACCTCCTGTTGCTGAGCACATGAACGAATAGATTTTAGTTTTCCATATTACAAAACAACGCTACTTTATTCATCTTTGTACTTAAATCTTTGTTCATACCCTTAACTGTTCCCATATGGCTAAATTCCTAGTATCCGTAGTAAGGAGAAAGAATGACTGAGATTTCTGAAGCTTTTGACCTCTACTATCAAATACTGCTCTAATACATTTATTCTAGGATACATTTATTCCTGGGAGTTGGCAGTCTCTTTTAGGATATTTGGGTAAAGGGAAACAGCACTTAGAACAGTCCGTGATATTTTCCTTTTTGTTTCAGTTTGATCCAGATTTATTGTTCTCTTTTTATCATGGCAAATTTTAATTCACTAAGTATAGACAGACACTTACTCCCACAAGGAAGTGTCTCTGTTTTTATCACAGTACACCAGGCAACAGCATTAAAGAGTTATTAAAAGTAGAGAGCGAAACCCACTTGTCTTATTGGCCTGGAGGGACAGGACACATTCACTGTTAAGTAAACAGCAGCAAGAGTCAGCACGACGTCCCCGGAGGGGTCTCGTAAGCCCTGTAGGTCAGGGATAACGCCTGTCTGGTTCTCTGTGCTGTTCATAGCACTTGGAAACCACGTCTGGCCCAGGGAAGGTGTTTAATATGTACTTGTTCAATTCATGAATGACTTTTTGAAAGACCTCCACCTGTGGGTACTGTGTGTGCACCCCAGGAATGGTGTGGAATGATGTACCCCAGCATGCTAAAAGGGGTGCCTTCAGGGAGAAGAAACTGTAAGGCTGAGGAAGGGAGCAAAACTTCTACTCAGTAACAGCTGCGAGGCAGCTTCCTCTGAGCCAAGCTCAGCACTCAGCACCGTGCGGGTGGTGATCTCACTGAACCTACCATCCTGTTGTTATTCTCATGTCACCATTGAGAAAACCTAACACACAGATCTTGCCCAAGGCCACCAAGGTGGGTGGGTGGCAAAGCCAGCCCATGCACCTCACCCCTCTGCTCTTCTGATCCTCTGTCCTCCTACACCTTTCTGTTGCATCCCTCATTACAACAAGCGTGTGCTGCTTTTGCCATCGAATTTTAGGTCAAGTATGAAAGTGTCAGGACTTTCCATCTGGGCTCTCAGTGCCCTCTGAGGTCCCCTCATCATCCAAGCATACCACAGGAAGTCCTCTATTCCAGAGGGACTCAGGAATAAATGTTTTGTGCTTGATCTGTCTTGGTTTGGTAACATTCTTACTAACTGCCATTTAAGGCTTCGACAGAAATCCCTGTCTTCTGTCTGGACCAGAAACTTAGGGAAGCACAGCCCTTGTGTGCCTGTAACTCCACCTGGACAGCAGTTGTCACAGACTGCATCAGTGCCATCTTTACATCTGCACAGGGCAGGCATTCCTTGATGTGACACAGACCCGCCTGGTGACAGGCCCCGGGACATTCAATCTACCTTGCAGGGTCCCCGAGGAGGGACATGTGTAGTCACGGTGGTAAGAAACAAGGAGCTCTTGCAGAGAAGCCTGTGTTTTTTCAGCTTGTGGGAGACCTGGGGTCTCTAAACAGAGGAGTTTCCAGTTGGACTCCTCGAGGGTAATGTTGAATCCCCGATGCCAGCACTCTCTGGTGCTTGGGGAAATGCAGACCCTTGACCTTGGAACTGGCAAGACCAGAACTTGACTCTCCCAGCCTGAGACACTGGGTAGGCTGCTGGGTTTCAAGTCCCAGTCCCTCCCCCTGTAACTGGAGGATGATGACATTGACTTGACTTGACAGGGACAGTTATGGTGATTCCTAGCAATGAGATAGGGAAGTACCTGCTGCGATCAGGACAAGGGAAATAACAACCATTACTTCTACTCACTGTAACCCCACTCTGTGCACAGTTTCTAAGGCGGCTCCCACTGATCCCCACCACTCACTATTTACACCCTAAAGAAATCCCTTCCTCACGAGTGTGGGCGGAACTAGTGAGCTGCTTTAATGAATCATGTAGGGCAAAAATGATTCTTTCTTGCCCTCTTTTGCTCCCTCCCTTGATCACTGTGATGGGAGCCATCTACCATGCTATGAGTTGCCCTATGGAAAAGTCCACATAGGCATGGAGGTCACTGGCCAACAACCAGGAGGAAACTGGGCCTCCAGTCCCACCGTCAGCAGGGAGCTGGATCTGAAACAACTGTGTGAGAGAATCTGAAAACAGATCTTCTCTGGCCGGGCCTGCAGATATGAGTACAGCCTTGCCTGAGAAACTCAGCCAGAACCAGGGAAGCTAGGCCTGCCTTCTGAGCTACAGGGACTGTGAGATAATAAATGCTTGCTGATTTAAGCTACTACATTTTACAGTGATTTACTATGCAATAATAGATAACTAACACACCCTGGAAACAATGGATTAAATTACACTCTGGAAAAATAGACAAAATTCTACCAGACAATAGTACTTACACCTCTGCTTAAGCAACTGGAATCATCACCATCATCATCACCACCCTCACCATCTAAGCTAATATACAATGAGTACTTACTATGTACCAGGGAGTTACACAGTTGTAAGTCATTTAGCTCTTCACACAAACCCTTACTGTATACCTTTTATGAATGAGGAAACTTAGGCTCAGAGGCATTAAATAACTTGCCACAGGTACCAGTTATCATGTGGAAAGTCCAAGAAATGTAGTACCAGAACTGGATTGTTCTACGGATCAATGAGTCTTACACAATTCATAGGTGCTAAGTGAATTTGAACCTGGTAGCTGAACATCGGCTATCAAATTTTTAAACATAACTCTCTCTCTAGATGGCTTCTGTCTCTAGGACAGTAAATTGAAATGTCTTACTTAGGGCTCACCAGGATCTCGGATGCTACATACCTGTAAACACTAGGCTAGCATTTTCCAGTTCTTCTTGAGGAACTTTGAAGCTGAAGGATTCGTTGTAGAAAGGGTCGATTGTGCCTCTTAAGAAGGATGTCTTCTTGGTTTTCACAAGCTTGAGACCATGCACCAGCTGGATCTTCACAAATGGGTCTGAGAATAGGATACAACATCACAGAATACTGGAGATCATGACATGTCAGCCTAATCCATCTATCCATCCATCCTTTCATTCATCCATTATTCAATCATCCATACATCTGTCCATTCATCCATCTACCTTGTCATCCATCTCTCAACCTATCCATCCATTCATCCATCTATTCATTCATTCATCCGTCTTCCCCTCCACCTGTCAGGTCATCTTTATCATCATTTCATTATCCTTTTATCTATTCATTCTGTCATCCATCCATCCAAGTTCCTTTCTATCAACAGCCCAACCATCCATCGATCCTTTCATCTATTTCACCATGAGTCCATCTCTTGATTCCCATCTGTTGATCTATTCATCCATTCATCCTCCCCCTATTCATCACTCTAGGTATCTTTCTTCTGTTTCATTTATTTATTCTCCCATCTACCCATTTATTTTATTACCTATGCATCATTTTCCTACTTCCTTATTTGCTCATCTCTTTCTCTCTTCCTCCAGTTATTTATTTATTTATTTATTTATTTATTTATTTATTTTGGTTTTTCTCCGGTACCGGGAACCGAACTCAGGACTTTGCGCTTGCCAGGCAGGCACTTTTGCCACTGAGCTAAATCCCCAGCCCCCAGTTATTTAATATTTACCAAACTCCTCCCAAGTTTTGGGTATGAAATTCATTTTGTAGTTGAGAATACTGAGAAATCAAAATAAAAAATGATATCCCATCCATCTGATACAAAGAACTGGTAATGAATGGGTCAATAACACCTTGGCAGGTAAACAAATTCAACCTATTAAATAAGTGTGCTTCGATCACAGTTGCCTATGAATGTGGGTTTCAAACATAAAGCCTTACTTAGCTTGTCGTTGTTTTAGAACTGTCACTGCCTTAATGTTCAGACATCTATTTAAGTCATCCTGATAAAGGAGAAATGCGTGTTTGTTTATGGCTTTTTGTAAATATAAATGCAGTGATCTATGGCTTTAAACATTTTTTGTGTGTCTGTGAAAATGTTTGTTAACTCAGACCATAGTTATTTACAGGAAAATGGAGCATGTAATTGTTCTTCATGTGCAAGAGCTGTTTCTCCCCAAACTTTAGTCAGCTGATTTGTCCTAAGATTACTTGTAAAACCTGAAATCTAGTGATTAAACAGAAGTGAGTATTCTAAAAAAAAAAAAAATGACTCGCTTAAGAGCTGGCTGGTGGAGGCAGAATCAGACTCAGGGCCTATTTTGCCTCTCTGTCTGTGGACACTCATTATCACGAACGTGAACCCGTGACCCATACACAGGAAAGCAGAGATGGGTGAATTAAAATTATCATCTTTATATCTTTTTATAGTTATGTACATTATCTGACTTAATATTTGTTTAAGCAATCCAGTGAGATAAATACAGTTTTATGTCAGTTTTTGAGATGCAGAAATTGAGGCATATAGTAACTTCCCCAAGGCCACATCATTTGCAAATAGTAAACTGAATCAAACTGAGATTTGGTTTCCGGCCGTTTGGCTCCAGAAGCCTTATTCACTTTATCATACAGACTCTCACTGTGATGAGTTTGAACCTCTCCAGCCTTTATATCGTTTTTTGCCATTGGAACCTTTGAAACCTCTGCTTTATAATGTGGCTTTTGAGCATACAAGGCATCTTCTAGATTCAGCTGTCACCTGACTACTTTGGCTGTTGCCCTTACAGAAGACAGCGTTTCCATTATCAAGTTGAAGAATCCCAGTGATCTTGCTTAAACAATATCCTTGTGCTGTCATGGGAGAAGCTACATACAGACACTATGGAATTTGCTCCATTTCATTACAAGTGATATGTGAAGGGGTTTGCTATAAAACAGCAGATGCTTAACAACAGTCTTTCAGTGCTAGGATTTATAAGGTTTGTGGTACTTGTGCGATGAGCTGGGAAAAAAAGCTCAGGCTGTGTTCACCATGACTGCTGATCAGAATGAGCAGTTACAGCACACCACCCGCGCCTGCAGCACGGCGTCTCTACTCCAGCTACAGTGTTTGGAAAGGCAAGTCACTTCTTTGCGGCTTCAAGTGTTCAAAGAAGATCTAGATTTCAGTAGTGACTATACCCAGTCACAATCAACTCCCTGACTCAGATAGGGTTCTTGAGATGACATCATTTACCTGTTGCATCCTAAGAGATGCGTGATCATTTATTTTCCTTCTGCGACAAGCGTCCTACTCTGAATGCTCTCCACCCTCATAGAGTCTTATCAATAGTATCCAGGGTGCAGAAAAGTTGGGTTCTCCAAAACACACTGATGTCCCCTTAAAGAATTGGGGGGAGGCAGGGATCACACAGTACCTGAGCCTTGGCTCACATCTGTCTGCAGAAGTTGCTTGGCTCGAATGATGTCAACGTTCAGCCTCCCGGCGCTCGGGAGATAATTCAGTGACAGAAGCAGCTCCCCAAGCTCCACTTCATTCTGCAGAGAAAGAAAATGGTCAGAAATGTGCTTTCTTCCTTTTATTCTTTTTTGTGCCCACCATGCAGGAAACTGACTCCAGCAACTCACAATGAGTTGCTGTAGGTAGAACAGTTGACAGTGAGTGCTTCTTTCTTTGACTTCTTTTAGTTTCTGCCTGCAATTACTCTCTTCAGTCCATCTCAGAAGGTTTTTCCTACTCTCAAATGCTTAGCAGAAGCAGCAGCAGCAACAACCATAACAGCAAAAGCATTGATAATTTAAAAATCTAATATGCCATCTACTATGCTAAGCCTTTTATATGCAATAAGTAATTGAATCTTCATGGTGAGTCCATGAGGTACAGTATTCATATTAATCTCATTTAATAGATGACAAAACTAAGGTTCGGAGAGCTTAAATAACACATTCAAGGTCAGATGACTAGAAAGTGGGAGAGCTGGCCTTTGGACCCAGGGAAGCTGACTCCAGATACTCTAACCACCGTGTTACTCCGCCTCCCCCACGGACACCTGCAAAGAAGCTACTAGGGGAGATGCTGTTCTTAACCTGTAGCCCACAGCATAACCCACACTTGTTTCACCATGGCAACGTTCAGCATGTGACCTCTCACTGAACAGTACCCATAGTCTCAGTATCAGTGCCATGACATTTGTGGAAAATCCACAGAAGCACCTAAGTGTGACTCCATACTGTCCAAATGGCTACAAAATAGGAGCCTCTACTTCTTCCTTTTTAAAAAAATTGTAAAATTTTCAACCATTTCAAATTAATAGGCTAACATAACTCATATACATACCCTCATCATCCAGTTGTAATAATGAGCAACAAATTTGGCCAAATGATGTTTTACCTATTCTCCTACTTGTATAAACATTTTGCTAAACATTACAAATCCCAGATATGGTGTCCTTTTACCTAAATATCCTTCAGTGCCTCTAAAGGATGAGATCTATCATCCAACTATTCCCCCACTCACCTACCCAGCAATCCTCCATCTTTTTACCTATCCATCCATCCATCCATCCATCCATCCACACCCCGCCTCTATCACCCATTCATCCATCCGTCCCATCCATTCATCATTTCATCCCCTCTATCCCTTTTGGTGTCAGTCATACAGCAAATGAAGCCAAGTGGCATCTCTAGGACAGAGCTTGGCTCATCACATATACTCAATAAACATCTGTTGACAGGATGAACATGAAACCAGAAGATTCCTGTACAGAGCAAGTTAGGCCCAAACAAACAAGAAACAATCTTGCACATTAACTCCAGGTTGGAAACTGGCTGCCTGTGGGTGTGTTGTTTGGCTCATGCCATATTTAAACAGATAATTATTTGTGAATTATTATGAAACTCAAGAATTAGGATATTTTGCAGGTTTTTTTTTTTTAAAAAAAAAACAACCTGTATTTCTTGCCTTGTATGAAAAAAAAGAAGGTCTGGTAATGCCAGGCTCATGTTCCCACTGGAAAGTGACAAGATTCTTTGTTTGGCCAAACTTAACTCAAGCTCCAGAAATTTCTCCTCAGCCCTTTTTTGACACTGCCTTGCAAAATCCAGTTGTAGTGAAGAACACTACTAAGTTCATTTAACAAGAACTCCTCACCCTTCATACCTGATCACCCTCTGCATCTGAAGTCTGATGATGTCTGATCACCCCAGAGTTGAACCCAAAGCTGCTTCCCCTCCACAGAATTGCATCATCATGGTCCCCCTATCTGTCATGCTGGTCCTGAATCATGTCTGGCTAACTGTGCTTTAACAAGTATCACTGAGTACTTCTTCTTTATCATCAGGCAGTGCCCACTGAATGAGATCTGCCCCTTATATGGGGCACATCTGCCCCTTATATGGAAATTCCGTATACTCTTTTGTCTTCTAAGATGACTGGAAGTTTTCCATGCTAGGGATGTTTGTTTTAATATCCTTATCATGTAGAGATATATTCTGAAGGATATATAGGTGAAAGGACACCATATCTGGGATTTGTAATGTTTAGCAAAATGTTTGTACAAGTAGGAGAATAGGTAAAACATCATATGCCCCATCTGCTCACCTTCACCCCTTTGGGTTCCTGCCACCCTGCCCTAGGGATATGATTTCCCAAGACAGGAATGGTCAACTCAGTGTCCTAAGCAAATAGAACAAGCTTAGATACCTTTACACAATTGCTAGAGACTTTCTGCTGGTTCTCAGGGACCTAGAAGAGGCAGCAACCTTAGGTATGACCTTGAAGTCACGTTCACCCTCAGGCAAGCAGGCTGGGAATTCTGCAGGAGCCCAGGTCATGGAGAAGCCATCTATATTCTCCCAGACTTTGCTCCTCTCAGGTTACAAATCAGAGTGACACCTCCCTCCTTTGAAAGTCCACCAGCTTCTGATGGAGCTTTACACAGTGGGGATCGGGGGGTGGGTTGTAATGTAGTCAGTTGAGCTGCATAAACAGGATGCAAACATGGATCCTAAAAATCTAGTGTCACTGAAGGTATTTTATTTAGTGATGGGTCAACTAAAAAAGAGTATGGCAAGGAATTAGCTTACCTATATGGGCCAGCACATATATATAT